AAATTTTAGTTGCCGAAAAACAATTCGTTCATTACAAAATTTATAAAAACAATTGGGACCGAAATAAGCCCAGGAATCGTCTCTAAATAGCCATTTAAGTTTTTTTTATTTTATGTTTAAGGACAAGTTGTACGTTGTACTATTTATATTTATAGGAATATTTTCGAAGAATAGCTGATATATGTGGAACATTTGAATCAAAACATATAGCACTGGCCTGTGTTTTTCGATGTTTATATTTGTTTTTTCGCAGTTTGGTCGGAGAAAATACATTTTAGGCTTGGCACTAAGTCTACTGAAGGCAATTAACTGTATTTTACTGTCTTTAGGGTGGATTTTTAAACTTTTTGGGTAGTGTTTTGTGTTTGAAAATTGTCTTCACTCCTCGGTTTGTCGCTAAAAAATAACTCTTTTAGACCACGGTCAAGATATCGTAAAAAGCTGCCCGCTGCTGCAGCCAATCAGATTGCAGGAAATCAAAAATATCACTAGGCATGTACAAATAAAAAAATAAATATATTTATTTTATTTATTATTTATAAAATTATCGACAAACGAGATCACTTTTGAATATGTTTGGACGAGTGTTAGGACACCTCAAAGAAATCCAGTATTTCGCGTAAGGTCACGGAAGCACGTTGATATTTTGAGCACTAATCTGTGATTTTGAGTTTTGAGAGGCGCGCGTGACTCAAAGGCGCGTTTTTCAAAATTATAAGGTATGCTAGCAGGCGTTTATTATTACTAGGCCCGCCTGAATAAACGCCTGTTGGCGGGCTATTCTTACCGCGGCTGAACGACACAGGTATTGCCCAAACTGACAGAAAATAATTTGGGTTTAGAAGCACGTTGATGCCCGCCCGAGGGGTGTACTAATATATATATATATATATATATATATATATATATATATATATATATATATATATATATATATATATATATATATATATATATATATATATAATTGGTTTGGTATTTTTACTTGTTTGTTTCAAGGTTTATAATCTACATATATATATGGCTTAAGTTTTTGGTTTACGAAACACAAACAGTGGTCAATACCATATAGACAAAGCATGCATTCAATCTATTGTTTGCGTAATTTCGATTCCTTAGTCTTATTGAAGCACTTTCAATCGCACCACAAGCCGCATATAAGATCTTTAATAGAAATACAACGAAAGTAAGTTATAGCTGCATGAGCAATGTTAAGTCTATAATCACTTAGCACAATGCACACATAGCTGCGAAGAACAAGGCAAAGGACAAGGGCACTGTCAATTGCAGTTGTTCGAAAAACGCAATATGCCCACTTCAGCAAAAATTAGGCCAATGAAAATTGATATCATGTTTCTCCTCCACAATTTTCAAAAATTTGGAGCGAGATTTTTTCATTTTTCATTATTTTTTCTATTTGAATTCTGCTTGTCAATAATTTCCTTGACCCAGTAAAAAACCCCATAAAAATCTGAAGTATCCAGTGTATAATTATTTTAATTTAATACGTCTTACACTACAGTATATTTCTACACATACAAGGGCTGACATGAAAAATAGAGGCATTCCCGCGAGTATAATCTTTAGAAAGATACAATGTGAGTTGCGCTTGCGGAATGCAGCAATAAGACTTTGATCTGGAGATCAATTTGGTGTTTGTTAAGCCAATTTTGAAAAATAATGAATAATGAAAAAATTTCGTGCCGCAGATAGATCCCATGCGGGCGGGGACGAGAAACATGATATCAATTTTCATTGGCCTTAATGCATGACTAAGTGCATAATATACAAAGCAACAGTCACAACAAGATGACAGATGGCGCCCCATAAGTAATAGATCGATATAAAAAAATGCAAAGCTAGTCTTGTTTGTGAAAAGAACTATGGATAAATAGTACAAACTTCATTTCGTTAAATAACTAAATTTATAAATATATATATATATATATATATATAGTTAAAAAACCACAACAGTCTGTTTCATCCGTATAGGAATCATCAGGTGGTGAATAATTTCGAAATTGTAGGTTGCTTTTATGCTATCGAAAGAATGTGCGGAATGCGTGTAGGCGAAACAATGCTCAGGTGAAACAATGCATGCTTGGGTCATTAGGTTTTGTTAACGACCTTGTTTACTCAAAACCGGTTTTTGTGACGACATTTGCCGAAAATTTCGCTTCTTTTATTGAGTAAATTGTCTTTGTTTATGTGTTTCAAAATGCAAAATTTTTCTTCCAAACATAAATTGCAGCGTTTTGATCCCCCTGTGTACGAAATAGCGTGTTTTAAAATTGACCATTTGATGGTATAATCCTGATTGTTTTCTTTTAATTTCCAAATATGTTTCGAAAGTTCCGTTTTGTTTGAGTCTTTTTTATGACGAAAAGATGAAGTGTGGTTAGCGTAACGTTCCTTAAATGTAGTCGCTGTCATACCAATGTAGTGTTTAGTGTCGTTCGTGTTGTTCGTTGTGACTGTTGCTTTGTAAGTAATGTTGTTGGTCATGCATTGTTTCGGTAGTGGGCAAGTGTTTTTGTTGTCGCAGTTACAGTTGTCAGTTTCCGTATTCTGTGATTGACTGTTCCTAATTATATGTGCGTTGTGTTTGGTGATTATATAGACTTAACGTTGTTCATGCAACTGTAGCTTACTTTTAAAGTGTTTCTGTTAAACTGTTTCTGTTAAACTTAAGAATTCCCGTCCTATGTTCGTGTTAACACTCTTACTAAATGGTGGGTTGAACCAAATTATGTTGCGTTGCCTATTCCTACGTGTCCGTTGCGGTGCATTCTCAGTGTACGTAAATTCATGATCAAAGTTACTATGTGTAAGAGCGTTCTGGTAAATAGGTGTGGATTCCTTAAATGTGTGTTCGTCCGATGAGAGAAGTGCAATGCGTTTGTTGATAGCTGTAGGTAATTGTCTTGTAATGCTTGGTGGATGGTTTGAGTATCTGTGGATGTACAATGGATCGTCATTGGGTTTCCTGTATGGTTTGTGTTTTGCGTTGATCAGGTCGAAAGTAACAACTAAAAAATTTACAACGTTCATATTTACTTCGGCGGTGATTTTAAGGTCAAATTGCTCGAAAATTTTGTGTAGCTCTTTTCTAGTTTTGTCTAGTAAACGGGCGGATTTGCTTTTTATAATAGCCAAACCATCATCTCTATAAAGTCCGATGTTTTCCTTGCCAAACCTCTTACCTAAGTGATTTAAAATGAAAAGGCCTACCAGCTCACAAATTTCAGCGCCGTCGAAACTACCGATAGTGACGTCAAATAAACTGTTGCTTCCGTCTTTTTTTGTCCATAATTTGCCGTTGCCGAAAAGTAGAGATTTTCTTGCATGTTTTATTATTGAAATATCGTTTTCGGTAATAGTAGTCAAATCCGAAGCCCAGGCCAATGCTTCATTTAAAAGTTTTTCGGAAATAGATGGGTAAAAATCCACAATATCAAATGAAATAAAACTGTGCCTGTCTTTATCGTTTATATTGCCAAACCATGAAATTACTTGTTGCGTATTTCTCCATTGATTTAATTTAGTTTTTGTCTCAAATTGGAATTAATTTTATCTAAAATAACCTTGCTTAGTTTTGCGGATTCGCTTTTTGCGGGATTAATTAGTCGGCATTTTGGATTGTTTTCGAAATTTTCATTGGGATCTTTTAAAGATATAAATGCTTCGCGTTTTTTCATTCGTTCAATTCTGTCGCCAATTCCTAACCTACTCGAAATTTCTTTCAATTCGTAGTCAATTTTATGTATATGAAGTCCTCTGATCCATGTTTGTACATTTTCGTGATGTTATCATGTAAGAGTTCGTTGTATGTGTTCAGTGACGTTTCGTAAATGTTTCTAGTTTTGTCCGCGAAAATGAAAATGTTGGGGGATGAATTAATTTTCTTCAAATCGTTGGCCAAAGATGTCTGAAATTGGTCTTTAAGATGCCGAAATTTTACGTTTTCAATTAGTTTTATCAAGTCTTCTTCGAAAGGTTTCAAAAGTGGAGTTGAAGGAGGCGATTAGTTAGACAAAAGGCCGAAAAGATTGCTTTGGTTTTGAGTCGTTGATCCTTTTAGGAAGAAATTAGCTTTCCATCTCATACGTTTTGTTACGCTTTCCACTTTTTCAATAAAATTCTTTAGGTTACGTAAGCATCCTGTGATGGTATAGGAATATTCTTTAGTGAATAATCGAATCGAAATTGTCGCATGTTTGAAGTAGAAATAAAATGAATAACGTAGACAAGAGTGCACAACCGATTACCGGGTGCGAATATAGCTTAAGATTTTGGTTTACGAAACACAAACAGTGCTCAATACCATATAGATAGAGCGTAATATAGTAATACCATATTGATAGAGTGTAATATAGATAGAGCGTAATATAGCTCAATCTATATGGTATTGAGCACTGTTTGTGTTTCGTAAACCAAAATCTTAAACTATATATATATATATATATATATATATATATATATATATATATATATATATATATATATATATATATATATATATATATATATATATATAAATAATAATCGTTGATTCAAACAAAAGTATGAACGCACTGAGTAGTTTGAAGAGTGCTCAACACCAATATTAGTAGAGCTTTATAATTGTTGTCTTTTCTACTTAAAATTAATTAAGTCGCAACTCTGAGTTTCACGTTTTCACGATCTTCAGGCGACGATGTATGTTCAACTAACTTTTCCTGTTTGATGACGTTGATATCCGTTGTGCTGCTTGGTTGACTGAGTTTGCGTGCTTGATTGAGCTAGCGCACGTCATGGCCAGAAATTTGGGACAGTATGGCGGCTAACTATGCGCACAACTGACCAATTTTGCGAATTTAAGATGGCGGAAATGCTAAGAATTAATACTATAATCATACAAATGCGATGCGCATGCTGAAACAAAATATAATTCTCAAAGTGTTTACGTCTAGAAATGTACAAAATACCTCGACGAGTGTTCCCCGAAACTCTTGACGTGTCACGATTTGCCATTATTCCGCCCGACTAACTCAATTTTACAGTATAATCTCGCAATGTAAACTCCTATTATGTACAGTAAAATCCCCATTGTTTACCAAGTTGAGGCCAGTGTAGTGTTGCTCCAAGAACTCGAAGACGAATTGTTTACGTCTACATTTCTTGTACAACAGTTGATCTCTCCTTTTGTATTGATTTAGATTCATCTTAGCTTGTACGCGCTCCGCCAAACGCTTTTAAAATAGCGTGTATTTCATGAGAACTGTAAGCTAATACCAAGTGTTTTGGACAAAGCACTGCGAAATCCCAAAACTATGAACGTTTTAAAAGCGTCGTCGTGGGTTCTTGTCAACCATTTTGAAAATATTTGTACTTACAACCGCTGATTGTTGTTTATAAAGGACAGGGGGCTCCAAAATAGGGAAAAAATCGCGCCAAAGTCAAATTTAAATCCCGTGAAATTCACTATATTTTCATGTACTTTTCTAGTTTTGGACTTAGAAACTATTGTATTGAATCAATTAAAAGATTGTAAATAAAGAAATAGTTGCCACAGTCTTTAACTGATATAAAATTAGCTCCGAAGTTCGCTTGAGACGCCTTTAATGTCTGTTTGTATTATGCTGACGCTGCAGAATTTAGCAAATTTTTGCGCCCGCAATACATTTCGCTGACTGTCCCTCATTTCTGGCCATGTCAAACTTTCCGGCCAAGAATCGTTTTTGGTGGACGCACTTCGAGAACAACTCGCGTCTTCTATTCAGCAAGTTTGACTTATCCCCTTTTAGAATGCAAAGTTTCTCTTGGAGGCAAAGGTTACATCTCTTTCCACCGCTGGAATACGAGGCTGCTCGTTTTAGGATAGACCAATTAATCGTGAAGTCCTGCTGCTTTTCCTTTAAGTTCCGCACGTATTTTGATAGCTCCGTATTGTTCCTGTATATAACATTATTGAAAGATTTATTGTGGTTATTTATATAACCGTGTCTTAAAGGTGTTTCCCGTCATGCCAATGTATTCTTTAGCTTCCGAATTGTTGGTTACCACCTCTGCTTTATAAACTATGCAGTCTAATAGGCATTAAATTAAATAACTGTTTTTTTAGTAACTCCTTATCTTAACTCCTTATCTCTTAAATAAATCCTTATCAGTTATTGATTGGTTTAAGAACATTCAAAACAAACAAAGGTAGTCGTTTATTTCCTTTGACATAGCTGAATTCTATCCCTCCAGTACAGAGGATCTTCCAGATAAATCAATTTCGTGGGCTCGAAATTATGTTACCATCCCTGAACAACATGTGTCAATCATTAAACACGCAAGAAACTCCCTCCTTTTCAATGGTGGTAACATCTGGAAAAAACGGCAAAGCAACACCACATTTGACGTTACAATGGGAAGTTACGACGGCGCAGAGGTATGTGAGCTAGTCGGCTTATTTATTCCAAACTCCTTAGCTGAGAAATACGGGAAAGATTACGTTGGTCTTTATCGTGATGATGGACTTATTTTACTGAAGGGAACTTCCAAACGTCTAGCCGATAAGGCAAGAAAAGATCTGCACAAGTTGTTTGCAGAGAACTTCCAGTTAAAGATAACAGCCGAAATTTGCCACCAAACTGTCAACTTCCTCGACTTAACTTTCAATTTACACGAGCAGAGTTACAAGCCTTACCGGAAACCTAATAATAACCCCCTTTTCATCAACAGTCATTCGAATCATCCACCATCAATCATAAAACAAATCCCGCTATCAGTGAACAAACGTATGTCGCAATTATCATCCGACCAAAGTGCCTTTTCAGCCGCCGCACCCATGTATGAAAGCGCATTGAACCACAGCAATTATCTTGCGACCTTGCATTATACCCCAAGCAACAACGGTAGTGGTAATAAACGAAGACGACGAAACATAATTTGGTTCAATCCACCGTACAGCAAGAACGTAAGAACAAACGTGGGCAAGATCTTCCCCAATTTAATTGACATACATTTCCCACCCTCCAATTGCCTTCATAAGATATTTAATGGTAACTTGGTGAAAGTCAGTTACAGCTGCATGGATAATTGCAAGAGTATAATTTCTAAGCATAACACCAGAATACTATCAAGACCGAAATCGACAACCCAAACATCATCATCAACAAACAGCGCCACATGCAATTGTAATAATAGCAACGAATGTCCTCTTCAAACGAAATGCCTATTAAACTGCATAGTTTATAAAGCAGAGGTGGTAACCAACAATTCGGAAGCTAAAGAATACATTGGCATGACGGGAAACACCTTTAAGACACGGTTATATAAATAACCACAATAAATCTTTCAATTATGTTATATACAGGAACAATACGGGGCTATCAAAATACGTGTGGAACTTAAAGGAAAAGCAGCAGGACTTCACGATTAATTGGTCTATCCTAAAACGAGCAGCTTCGTATTTCAGCGGTGGAAAGAGATGTAACCTTTGCCTCCAAGAGAAACTTTGCATTCTAAAAGCGGATAAGTAAAACTTGCTGAATAGAAGACGCAAGTTGTTCTCGAAGTGCGTCCACCAAAAACGATTCTTGGCCGGAAAGTTTGAACGTGCGCAAGCTCAATCACGCACGCAAACTCAGTCACGCAACCACCACAACGGATATCAACGTCATCAAGCAGGAAAGTTAGTTGAACATACATCGTCGCCTGAAGATCGTGAAAACGTGATACTCAGAGTTGCGACTTAATTAATTTTAAGTATATCTATATATCCCGTCTATATATATATATATATATATGTATATATATATATATATATATATATATATATATATATATATATATATATATATATATATATATATATATATATATA